CGTCTTTACGGACGCATCAGACATCGGGATTTGCGCAATCGTTCCATCGCAGCGCTTGCACCTCACATACCAGTTATCCTCTTCGAGCGAGACCTCATCAGCAGCTTTCTCCTTGGCTCGACAAGCGAGTTCGAAATCAACTATCGGGAGCTTCTAGAATATATGGCCAAGACATAGGCTCCCCTGCGGGGCGCCAGCCACGCTCAGGCACGTCTCAATCATAATTACTTCTGTATTGACAACACCACCGCCGTCTCGTGGCAGTCGAGAATGGCATCGAGAAATTCTCGTGCACAGCTCTTGATTCGCCTCCTCGCCTCCTTGGAGCGGAGCTCCAATTTGGCTTGCGTGATCCTCACGCCTTGTTGTTCGCCGAGCTAAAAAAACGACGTAAACAGAACGACGTAACAAGGTGTTGGTCACAGGCACCGACCCCCTCATCTACAGAGAAGCTCGAGCCAGCATGGCAAGACATCTCCGCGAACACTCCGCTGCTGCCTCCTCCCTTTGAGGTTACACCCGGACGTTCAGCTACTGGAAGCTGTGGACCCACCGACGACGCATCCCCTGCCACCTCCCCCTCGAGCTAGATGAGCAAGTGCGTACCATTTCCGATTTTATCATCGACGATCGCGAACACGACCTCGGCTCGAACTGGCCGGTTCAGAGCTCCACAATCAAGTCTGCCCTTCACAACATTCACAGTTTTCTCAACGCCGGGGGCCGCGATCTTAGAAGGCCACCCACAGGTCCACATGCTCCTGCGCGAGGAGCAGATGCGACACTCCTACGCGACGTAAATTGGTCGCACTGCTCGAGGAGTCTTCGGTCGCCCCCCCCCCTTCAGTACTCCGCGGACCAAGCTACGTAGGAGAGTGGGAGGGGTCTGGCCTTCTTTTTCGTTCTGCGTCGGTCGGAAATTGCAGCCACCACATCCACGACATTTCGGTGGTTTGCCCTCGCGGCAGCAGCATTCGCCGTGTTCGACGCAGAGGGAACAGCCACAGCGGATCCCAAGAAGGCATCGGCGGTATGCATTCGGCTCAGAGGCTCCAAGACCAACCAGAACGGCCCACCGATAACGCGCATGCTGTCACAATCGGGTCACCCACTTTTATGCCCTGTGCTCGGCGCACTGCTTCTCCTTCGCTCTAGGGGTAATTTGTCGCCTGACATGCCGGCAGCCGTGTTTGTGGACAAGAGCGAGAGACCCCGCTGCGTGACGGCGGCCCGCGTCGCCAAGGAAATCCAAGATGCAGCCGGTCGCATGGGCAAAGGTCCTCGCCAGTACATCACACATTATTTCAGGGCCGACGGAGCTACGATCATGTACCGAGCTGGCGCGGATTCACTAACCATCCAGTCCCACAGCCGCTGGACATCGGACGCATTCAAGCTCTACACAAGCCTATGCAACGACTCCATCGCTGCAGTCGCCACCAAAATGGTGAGCGGGGGCGCCAACCTGGCAACTTTCCAATGACGGACATCGAGCTACCACCCTGCGAATGGGGCTCAAACCGATCTGGCTCTCGGCTGTGGCGCGGTAGCTCGTAGCCCTTAATTTGTAACGCTAAAAGTTTGGCCTCAAGTCTGAGCGTATGAAAAGGAGGAAAGCTATGCGGACTTCACTTTTATGCAGAATAGCTAGCGCATATTTGGTATTATACGTCGTACACTGTAAAATACAGCATGTACATTGTCTTAAATTGTGCGTTTTTCATTTTCTAAGGGCCATGCCGAACCGGAGCCATGTCGTGCCATCCGTGCCACGACGGCATATGATTGGTCTGCCAGATGAGCGGGCTAGGGGGCAACCTGCCATCGATGGCACAGCGAAAGTGCCATGGCTCCGCGTAATGCCATGCCATGTCACGTGCCACATTCGAATTTACAGCGATTTCGTGCGGGCTTGCACTTCCATTTTCGCGCCAAAAGATGGAGGGGGATTCGGGACTGGTTGCTGCTGTATTCTCGCTGCAATTAGTGGCGCTCTACTTAGCCAGCTGTGACGAGAGACGTCCCTGCTTGGAGCGACGTCGCTTGAACTGGAAGCATCACTCACAGTTGCTGCTGAATGAGGGTCAATTTCGACAATACTATCGAATGTCGTTCCGTTCGTTTGAGAAGCTTGTGCGGATGCTCGGTCCAAGTCTACGTGTTGATGAGGCCCAGTCGCGACGTCGAACAGGGACAGAGCCGTTGTCTTCTGTCAACAAGATTCAGATCTTTGTTTCTTGGTTGGCAGGCTATTCCTACCATCCAGTTCGAATGCTATCGGGGGCGAGCTCCTCCGGTTTCTATGATATCATTCACGCCGTCATGGACACTATCGAAGAGCACGACGAACTACAGTTCCGATTCCCGATCACCGAACAAGAACAACGAAGATCAGCACAGCAGTTTTCGCTTCTGAGCAAGTCCGGCCTTGACAAAAGTCCTATGATGACTGGGTGTGTTGGCGCTATAGACGGATGGCTCTGTCAGATTCAAGTGCCTAGACGAAACGAAGTTAAGCGTGTGGCTTCCTTTTTCTCCGGTCACTACCAATGCTACGGCGTGAATGTTCAAGCCTGCGTAGATTATCGTAGCCGGTTCCTGGCCATCACAAGCGCATGTCCTGGTGGAATGGGAGATGCAGTGGGTTACCAAAAGTGGCATTTATCAAGTGTGGTAGCCACTTTTCCGAAAGGGTTTTATCTGCTTGGTGATAACGCTTACAGCAACACAAACACACTTTTGACGCCGTTCACAAAACCACAAATAGAGACTGACAGTCATGACGCGTACAACTTTTTCTTGAGCCAGCTACGTATTCGTGTTGAGATGGCCTTCGGACTTTTGGTGAACAAATGGCGGGTTTTTAAATCCCCTCTGCGCATTCGAATGAAGAACGTCGCCAGGGTCGTGCATGTGGCTTGCATTCTTCACAACTACTGTATTGATGAGCGTGTGCAGCAAGATGAGTTTTGTGACGTTGATGATGATGAGGACATGTCGAAGGCGCTTCGAAATGTGTCGCGGTCCGACGACAATGACGAAGCAAGCATGTCCTTCCGCTCAAGCTTGAACACTTCATACAAGGAGCTGTACGTTGCAAGTGACCCGCTATCATCCGCGTCGACAAAGAAACAGAGAAGCACACAGTGCTCGAAGAAAAAGAAGACGGCCAAGTCTAAACAAAATACAAAGCCCTCGAGAGTCAAGGAACCTGAGATTTTGCGAAACGGAATTGTGCAAATGATTGAAAAGCGCAATTTGGCCCGACCCGAGTACAATAAGCGTCGCGCCGCGGCTGAACAAAGCATTTAGATTGTGATAGCGAGGTTGTATTGGCCTAGTGACAATTAGCGAATCCACTACACATGGCAACGGCTTCGACAGCTTAGCCCAGATGCGTCTCCATTTCGCTCAGCTTCGCGAGGTAACACCGCAGACTACCCTCGAGGCGCGCCGTCGGCTTTCCGACAGCGCTCAGCTCGTCGATACGCGTCTCCACATGCTGAATGAGCTGGTGCATCTTCATGATCTTGTCCTCTACCGACGTCTCCTTTCCGCATAGCTTTTCCGTCATAGCTTTCATGGACTCGACAATCTCGTTCCGAATTTTTTTCGACGGCGTCGAGGTGGTGTCAACAGCAGCAACAGCAGAAGAACGGCGCTTGAGCGAATCGAACTGGTCTTCGTCAAACATTCCACCTTCCACAAACTGCGTCAAGTTGTGCTTTAGCTGGAGGCACTCGCGGAGGTAAAACACATTCAACGCTCCAGCACAAAAGCTGTAGAAATCATCTCCATGCTCTCCCGATTTTGTGAATCGAGCCATTGCCTTGACGTAGCTCTGATTGACGCTCTTCCACATGTCGTACAAAGTTCCAACCTCCTGCACCACAATGACGGAACAGTCGAACCATTCAAAGCGTACGTCGTCACTTAGCAGCGTGTTGAAGTCCATGCGATTGCCATTGAAATCCGAAGCTACATCACGCCAAAAGGTTGAGTTAGCATGGGTGTCGCCGGCATCGAGCTGTTGTCGCGTCGGCTTGTTTCCAGTCTCCGCGAAGCGTGTAGCGTACTTGTCGGAGAACAAGATCGTGAGAAATCGAACACAGCTATTCTTCGACGGATATGCCTTGGAGTTGCCGGTTCCCCCACCAGATTCCAACGCTGAGGCGACCATAGAGCGGTGCAGCTCATCGAACGCAACGAGGCGTTTAATGCGCTCCTCCGCACTCGTTTGTCGACTGAGTCGAAGGTTGCGGCTCGTGCATTCCTTTCGCAGCTGCTCAACACTCCAGGTGTTGTAGTCGTCCGACGTTGGGGCAGGAACTGCCCCAGGCTTCGTCACGGTCCAGTTTGATGCAACAGTACTGCCTGTACTTTCAGTAGCACCACCACGACCACCTTTGCCAGCACCAACACCACTAACGCTCCCAGCGCCTTCATCAGCGATCGTGACCGGAGCACGCCCAGCTACCAGCGCGTCACCAGTATCAACATCTCCAGCTACAGCATTGCTTCCAGCAGCGGCTTAAGCAGCCAGCTCCTCCATCCTCGTACGCGCAGGCCTTAACGCTCCACTTGAAATCACAAAATGGTGCTTAGAGCCCACCGCAATACAGCGACCTTCAGCTACGAGCTTCGAGAGCGAGTCATTTGTGTGCTGCGAAGCTGCGTATGGGAGAAGTTGCTGCTCGACGAAATCTGCATGGCACGCACGGTGGCACAGACCGATTTCGGTTCGGCATGAAGAAAATGGCATCTGAGTTGATGCCTACCCCTATGGCACGGATGGCACGATCAACGCCCGGTTCGGCATGGCCCTAAGTCAAATAAACGCTTTGTTTACTTCACAAATATTCTCTAGTTTTTTTCGATCACCTTTTCAGTTATTTCCAAAAAGAAAAATTAAGAGTACCGGTAGTACCGGTAAAAAATTAAGTTTTTCTTGGCAATTTTTGCCTACGAAGCGTATTTTATTTTGATAAGACGGGTAAGAAATGGATGTACTTCAGCATGCGGCTCATGGTGCCGTCGTGACCGGAGGAGGAATAACAGCGGCGCAAAGTCTGTTTTCTCGAAGGCTCAACCCCCCAAGTTCGCTGGCGCTGGCGCTAGGAAGCTTTGTGGGTGTTTTCCGGCTGCTGGAAGGAGCGGGGCGAAAGCTATCGACTGGAAATAGACAGCGCTCCCCCAGTGCGTCTCAAGCAGCGGCAATTGCGTCGGCGGTGGCGCTGACCCTGTTAGAAGCCGAGCGGAAGACAATCGTGGTCTCGTACGCCGTCGTCGAGGCGACTTTGATTCTGGTCAGAAATCTAACCACACTTGCAGACGTCAAGTACATTGGTAATAACGCGCTCCCAAAGCACCTCAACAATGTTAGGCTGACCACTGCCGCTCGGCTATATTGCTACAAACAGATATTCCAGCGGGGGCATTAGCGGCAGGACCACTAATCGATTCATGGATATACCAGAGCGACGCAATTGCCACGTCGCAGTTGGCTGCACTCGATAGCTTCTGCCAACTGCCTCCGAAAGTACTGCGTCGAATGCGCGACGAAATTCCGTCCGGAAAGCTGGTGTCACGCTGTGACGTGTTCCATCGCGGCCGAAGTTGTGTGCAATTCCACCGGGACTACTTTATCAAGGGCATGAAATTTGCCATTCGATTGTATGTTCCTATTTACGCTGTGTCGGTTCTCGCCCCAAAGTACAAGCGATGGATTTGGGGCCCACGGCCGGCGTTCGCTCCACTGGTGGCGCGCTATCTACGCACGTGTTGCTGCCTCACTATGCTGTATCAAATACCGCTGGGTTTCTCGTGTTTGTCACCAAGTGATCGACATCGTGCGACCGTCAAGATGGCCGGCGTGCTCACGACGCTGGCGTTTCTTGCCGAGCACGAAAAGCGGCGGGGTAGCGTCATGAAGGCTGTGGGTGTCTACAGTACTGGCGCCGTGGCCGCTCGGCTTGTGGCAGCACTGGGCGTGCCGCCCAAGGCCGTGAAGCTAGGTCAGCTCCTGCTGCTGTCCGTCGCTGTGGCCATGATCTTTCAGCGCACGACGCCCGACTCGTCTCGCATGACACAAATGCTCTACGGATACAGTGACCAGCCCACTTCAACGGGGGACGACGCTCTTGCCGCCAAGCGATGAGCAATGGCCAAGTAACGACCGTGAGCTAATGAGCTCGACTAACACACACGGACGCAGTTGAGACTCGACTCAAAGGGCGGACCGAGCCAAACCGGAGCTCCGCATCAAGAAAACTCTAGACCCCTTCTTTTTTCCAGAACAAAACACACGACTCCGCGTACACCGTGAGGCGCACGGTGCGCCCATTCTGTGATCGCGCCAATTTTTTTCCCGGCAAACACAAAAGCTCGTTGCGTTGTTGAAGAGCGGTTCGCAGACTGCTGTTTTGGTATGCAAACTTACATGTGCAGCATCTTCCATGCCTAAAATCCACGATTCGTGGATAGTATAGCTACGTGCTTCTTACCCTCGTGGTCCACGACGTGGACCAAGAGGATATGAAGCGCGTACTGTACATGCATTGCCAGTTGCATTGGTGATGGTGACGAAGGACCTCGAAGTAGTGAGCCACAGTGGCTCACCACTATTAGCCGCAAATTTGGCGACTCGCATAATAGCGAGGTGTCCAAATGCAGCCCGGCTGATCCTGATCAGCTTGTACGGGCAACGCTCCTGCGGCAGAGCTGTTGCATCAAGGCTGATTCGGCATGGTGCAGGACCTGCACCTGCAGGCTGCAGCAGGCGGAGATAAGTAGAGTGGCATCCTGTCAGGAGAACCACACTGTGGCACTGCAAGGGTCTTATTCTACCGTAGAACCTCCTTGACAACTAATTTTACGGTTGTGTAGCAGTCCTTGTCAAGGAGGTTTGTCAGTGCCTGCGTATTTTGATACGCTACGTAGAGCACGTAGGTTATTTTAGTCAGCAGGATACGCTTGGACACGTCGACTGTCTCAATGCATGTAAATATGCAGCCTCCGAGGCAATAGGACGCGCTGAGTGCGTGCGTTCGCCGTCACCCGAACACGTGTTAATGTTGGTCGAGGATAGGGACGTCTGGTACCATTTGGGTGAGCTTCATTACGTAGCAACGCCTGCGCTGATATATCTGTACCGCTCTGGCGCTCGACAACTTCCTCGCTATCATAGCCAAGCACTGCGGGTGTTGAGACAGCTTAAGGCGTTAGCAGCGCACGCCGAGTGTCTGAGAGGTGTCCGTGTTACCACTCGACCTGCAGCTCTTCACTGCAAACACACTGTGCCTCAGTATTCTACGCTGCGCCCACCTATGCCCGTAGAACAGACAAGGCTAGGCCGGCCCGGCCACACCCCCATTCTCAAGGCGTCGTTCTGTTGCAGTTCGTTGTCAGTGCCTGACTCCTTGCCATTCTCCGGCCGGCGCCATGATGCCCAGTGCCGACAAGCACGTACACAGCAGCTCGACGGCCGCGACCAGCAGCATCAGCAATAGTATGCCCTTCAGCCCCGTACCGAGCCCCGCCGACGCTGCCGGCGCCGCGCTCTGGGAGAATGAGGGCGCACAGCACTCCATTATGCTGCCGTACATCCGCGATCACGGCGATCAGATGATGGCGCGCGTACGGCAAGAAGACCCACGCGTCCACTACGTGGCGCTCAAGCAGGTGAACGACGTATGTCTATACAAGCGCATCACGCAGCCGCAGGAGACGTTCAATGCGTCCATGACCACGTCTCCGCTTGGAGCGTCGCTCTCATCGTCTTTCTCGTCTTTGGCGTCGTCCTCAAGGCGCGGTATCAGCATCACATGCGACCCTACGGAGAATGCACTCTCACCTGGTGACTTCGAGTTCCGCGGCATCACGCGCGTACCTGGCAGCGCCGACATGGTACTGGACGTGCTAGCTAGTGAGTCTGCGCGTGAAAACTACTGGGTCGCGCTCAACACTATGAAGGACGTTAAGGCCGCGGCGCTGCTCTCGACCGCGCGTCTACAGTCCCAGATTTTTTCGACATCATCCATCACTTCCGAGACCGACATGGATGCCACGGCTTTCCCGCGTTGGAGCCGCAAGTACACAGCCGCCAGGTTCTCCAAGCACAACTCCCAGACACTGGACTGCTGCTTCGCCGAGTACGCGATGAGATACACTGAGACTAACAATGAAGGACACACGAGGAACCGTGGATTCGTCTACCGTCGCTCAGTCTCGGAGCACGCGCTGAGTAAGACGTCCAGCGTATCGGCGGAGCCGCTGGTCAAAGCGAAAGTTCAAGGAGCGGCGAGATTCTTCATCCGCGACTGGCTGTTCGACGTGATTGAGACCCACGAGCCTTTAGTGTGCAAGTTAGTCTTGACCTGTACGGTGATCGTCCCGCCGATCTCGGGACGCGGAGCCACCGTGTCGAGATCGGACTTCCGTGAGTTCTGCACCGAGCTGATGGTGGGCGCGCGTCGTGCGCTAACCCACCAATGGAAGGATCACGCCGCTCAAGCTGGCGTACGGTCGTCTTCGTCCTGGCGACGGGAGACTCGCTGCTGTACCGTGTGTTCGTCGCAATTCTCGCTACTACGGAAACGCCACACGTGCCGGTCGTGCGGGTCTGGAGTATGCTCCAAGTGCTGCTTGAAGACTGCGCCTGCTCCTGTTCCTGACTTCAATACATCAATGGGGTTCGGCGCGAGACCGCAACAACGCGGACATAAGCGCGAGTGTCTTCTCTGCGCCCAATTTGGCCCTGAGAATGGTCTGCCCGCCCGCCCGGATAGTCGTACGAGTAGAAGCCGCCACTTTTCAACTTCGATCGCTTCAATGTCTGCGTCCATGTCACGAGGGTTTTCTTCGTCAAGAGGAGGAGCTCTGTTCGACTTGGAACAGGAAGAAATCGACCAAGTGCATCCGGATCTAGAGCTGCGATCCACCACGTCCGTCTCTGGCTCCAGACGTCGTTGTAGTCAACGGAGTGTAGGCAGCGTCGGCAACATCAGTGACGACGAATCGGAGGAAGACGTTCGGCCATACACGCCGCGACTTGATCTACGAGCGACAACGTCCAAACTTCTCACGGCGTCTACAGATTTGACGCGTAGCTCGCGTAGTGGCCCCGGTATCGTCCTGTTATCGGATCTCGAGACGCTGACGCTTTCAGGTAGTTTCCACCGCATGTCTGCACGCTCATCAGGTAGTTTGTCCGCGAGCATATCGTCGCGATCACCGATGGACGTGACGTCCAGGATGCCAGCTAAGTCATCCGCCGCGACTCCTGCCGCGTTGCAGCAGCGCCACGATCGCACCGTGTCCGAAGACAATGTACTGCTGTTGACAACTGTCAAGCCTCGCGTCGGCACGAGGGACAAAACGCAGGAGAGCAGTGCTAGTACCGTCGAAGACGAAGACGTATACTCGGAAGACGACCTGGCCAACTTCACCCTCAAACTGCTATAAACACGTTGTGTTTATTTAGTCAGTGGGCGGAAGACACGTCAACACTTAAAGGATCAGGACCAAAAAATAGCAAGCAACAGACACAAGAGCTTGTCTGTCGCCATGGTCATCTATTTCAGTCGTCGTCACACTGTCATTGCTGACAGGTTAAGAAGATATTTTCATTCCACTCACGCAATCGTTGGCTATTGTGACTTAAGTGAACAATGTCGTCACGACATGCGCGCATCTCGAATGTGTCGGCTCAACATTTGCGCGTGGAGCTGGACGTGGTGTCGCAAGTGGAGACGCGAGTGCAACTCCAGCGGTGGTGGTCGCTCCGGTTCGAGCACCCGGTTATGGAGAAACGTTTTCAGATTTATTATGAAGAATCTTCCATCGTCTCAAGTAAGTGGGCTTGTAGTGCTACTTTGGGGTCAACTGCAGTGCTGCAAGCTGCAGTTTTCTACGATGTCTTTGTCCTCAAGTCGCCTGAGAGAACCCCTTGGGTGTTTGTGGATATCGCTGTGGCCGGCAATGCATTTTTACTGGTGCTATGGGGAGTTTTCCTTTGGACTGGTCGACAACGTAAACAAGTTGGCTCTTACTTCGAGATCATGCTTTTTACACTAGGATTGAGCATGCTCATGCTCATTCTCGTTCTTGGCTTACCACTAGCAGCGTACGAGACCGAAACTGTGGCTTTCAGTGAACAACACGACGTAAACATTCTAACTGAGCTGGACGAAGCTAGAAAAGCGCACGATGTCACCCGAACGATATTCTTCCTTTTGATACTTCTCGGAGCTATCGCCACGACGTGGTCGGCTCAATTTCTCGCTTACTGCGCCTTAGCGACGAGTACGTTGCTTGCACTTGGAGGCTGGATTGTCGGCTGTTCGGACTATCTTCGACGTCAATGGCACCTGGTAGCTCTCTTCACCTGCAGCTTGTTTCTTCTAGGCAGAGTGATTTATTGTGGAGAGCGCAATTTAAGAAACAAATTTCTTCGGGCACGGCGTTTAATGCTAGAAAACATGAAACTTTCTCGACAAAACTCCGTCATGCATCAGCAATTAAGTTGTCATGTTAATGCTGTTGGTATTGGCAACGGACGACATCGAGAATCTCGAGAAGCTCCAAGTAGTTCCAAAGCTGGAAGCCGCGTTTTACCGCAAAAACAAAAATCAAAGATTCGGCCAAAGAATGGTAAAGCTACATCGGAGCCGCCAGTAACAGGCGAGAGCTGGATGGAAAATGTTCTCCGAAATCTTGTTCAATTACGCCAACGACTTGAAGATGATGAGCAGAGCACCAGTGAACTCGACTTTGTTTTGCAAACACTCACTTCTGAGAACGACCTCTTCCTTGATACATGGTCCCGTCAACGACGAGTGCCTAAGTCTGATAGTAATGTAGAAAAGGCAGGCACGGGGTGGTTATCCCTCCTCGAAGAAAAGCGTAATCGAAGACGCAAAACGGAGGGTAAACAACAACAGATCGCTCCACCAGTTGCAAAATCTTTTCGTCGGACTTCGCCAGGCTCGCGAGCGACAGTACTCACGCTTGTTGAAAACTACCTTCAATCTTCTGGTGACATCAAATCTAGCGAGCAGAAATACTGGAGTTCAGATGAATTACTAGCACTTGCAGTTACGTCTCAAGAACTGGACTTGTTTGCATTTGCGCGCTCCTGTACGTTGCCACTTACAACTTTATTGCTCACGACACTCGAGAGCCATAATGTATTCGTCACTCTCCCGTTACGTATCAAAAGTGTTGCCGACTTTGCTCAAGAGATTGAGACGCGTTATCAGCCCAAGAATCCTTACCACAATGCACTGTACGTTTCGATTGCGTGTGCGGTTTTGTGTTGACTGTTCTCAGCTGCATTGTTATTTTATTGTTACAGTCACGCGGCGTCAGTCGTGTGGGACGTCAATTTTTTCCTCCGAAAGCTTGAGGATCCAGTGCTAACCCCTGTTCAGCGTTTTTCGGCGCTGATAGCAGCGGCCGTGCATGACGTTAATCATCCTGGTGTCAATAACGCTTTTCTTGTCGCCACCACGGCTCCATTGGCGATTAAATATTCTGACGATTCAGTTTTGGAGCGGATGCACTTAGCTGAAGCGTTTCAAACGTGTACCAAGGATGGTTGCGATATTTTCGAGGCATTCCCACCCGATTTACGTCGGCAAAGTCGTTTGCAAATCATTTCCATGGTGCTTGCAACAGATTTAAGTGGTCACCTCACGCACGTTAACCGTCTCAAGAGCAAGTTGTATGCGGTTCAGCCTACGTCAGAATCGGATGAAACTTGTACTACACCGGGGCTTTTACTTCCTGATGAACTTATACTCCAGACAGTGATCATGATGGCAGATGTCGGCCACGCGATGAAGTCGTTTCCACTTCATTTGGCGTGGTCGGAGCTCGTTGCAGAAGAATTTTATCAACAGGGCGATACGGAACGGCAATTTGGACTGGCGATTTCGCCTCTCTGCGATCACGATACAGGTGTTGAGCGCTTTGAGAAGAACCAGATAGGGTTCCTCGAATTTGTGGTGCTTCCTCTGTATAATGCGGCACGTGACGTTCTCCCGTTAGCGAGCTTTGACGACGTGGTCACGAACGTTCGACTGAATGCTGCCACATGGGAGAAGCGTGCACAGGCAAAGAACGGTACGATTCCAACTTCTCCTGTTGACACCTTGTTAGCGATCCCATCGACCGTTGCAGAGAAAGGAGGAGAATCTGAATCCGACGCAGAGATCGTTGTTGATGTGGGGAATGATTCAACAACAAAACTGGTCAATGGTAGCCCCACTAATAATGCATGATATAAGATGATGACAATAAACAGTTCTCCAGTACCAATCTGAGGTCGTAGTACTAGCAGCTGAAGTAATATTGTCAAAGGTTTAAGCATACATTTAGCGTTAAATTTCGAGTTAAGTAAGAAGATACAGTACCTGCAATGTAGAGTCCCTGCTTACAGCGCTAAAAGTCTGTTGATTTTCTGTTTCAACTGCTAACAATCTATTAGCAAAATACTGACCTAGCTTTGCAAATGCCATTTTCCTGAGCAATATTCATGTTTTTGTTTAGCTTCGTGAAATCCTCATGAAAGCTAAAGAAGCAATCAATAAGACCCCCTTTTAATTTCAACTTTAGTCAGATACTGCATCACACAAGCCTCTTACTTCGAAGTATCTGATTGCAGTTATTCGACATACGTAAAGACGCGTTTCTTCATCTTACTGTAGAGGTACGCAGCCTTCGCGAAGAATGCAGGCTTCGTCAGCCTGGCAGCACATCGCGCGACCGGGTGCAAATTCGCACGCTCTCGTCCCACCTGCAATTCCTTCGCACGCCTGAGTAGTAGTAGCCCATTCACCAGCGCGAACAAACTGCATTACATCTCGATCCGGCTGAGTGCGAGGAACTCCACTCAGATGAACATCTTTCCACGCTTGAGATGCAGTTTGCAGCCCGTGAGCAGGTTTGTTGGCTTTCACTAGTGGGTCAATTACCTTGTACCATTGCTCAAAGGTCCAGTCTGCGTCAGCCGCGAAAGGAACGCCGTTCAGTGTGTACATGGGCGTGCCGGACATACCTCTGGAGCACGTGTATTTCCAGGACTCACGCGTGTGGTCGTCCACGTCAGTTCCTCCATATCCCGTCATCTGCTCGTCCCACTGCTTGTCTGTCAGCGACGGGAACGTCTTCTGAGCCAGCTTCTTGAGCTTTTCCACCACTTGTATTGGGCTCAGATCCTTTGTCGCTTTGTTCCAGAATCTGCAAGAAATGGACAAGTAAATAACCATTCAACCGACCGTATACGACATACACAATAATTACATGTCTTGGTTTGCATAGATCGTTTCGAGCCATGTGGTAAAGCTCTTGTCCCCCAACGCCGTGGTAACAGTAAATGCCGCCTCCGCAGTAGCAAAGGCATGTTGGTGGTAAGGAAGCGGAAATAGGACGAAGCGAACACGAAGCTCATCAGCTTCATAATGTTCAGCAAGGTTTTTTAGTCCTGGGTATGCCGATTTACTGTCGGGGCACAACTGTAGCAACCATAAATTACGTAAAAAATGGAATTGTTATATTCGCAGTAAATTTATCTTACCAAATCGATGTACGACTCAAGCTGCACGCCTGCATCAGCACTGCCACCTCCCATTGTGAACCCAGGTGGGCGGCGCGGAATCCGCTGGGTGTATGCCACCACACATAACGCCAACGACACTACAAGGAAGCGCGTAATGAGCATGGAGAATACCATCTTTTCGAATAGGGAATGATCCGAATCAAGTTAAAATGTTGACGAATCAGATTTTCTTATTTCATAAAATCAGATTAGGTCGTCATTTTTCAAGATCTCAAGAATGGCTACGGCGTTGTTTGGGTTCATCGCGGCCTTGCTGCTGCATGTGGGCGTTGCCCAGGAGCCTGTCCCAAGCGAACCGCCAGGATTCACTATCGGTCGAGGTAGTGGATCCGCCAAAGTTCAATTAGACGTACATCGACCTGCTGTGCCCGTTCAGTAAGGCCGCGTACGATGGCGTGAAGGCGCTGGCGAACCACTACGAGCCCGAAGACCTCCGCGTCAAGGCTGTACTGTTCCCGCTACCGTTTCACCAACACGGTTTCACTGCAGCCGAATCAGTGTTTACAATTACGTCAGCTCTGGGTGACGACCATTTTACGCCGTGGCTGGAAGTTCTGTACAATAACCAAGAACGGTAGAGGAATTTTTTTTTCTTTAGGTTTATTTCCCTGATTACTAAATAAGTGGCTACCTGGCTTCTTTAGGTTCTGGAACAAGGCGACAAAGGATTTAAGTGCGGTGCAAGTGACGAACGAGGTGAAAGAATTGGCCAAGAAGACATTCCCGGCTCTTACGGACAAGCAGTGGGAGAAAGGAATGACAGGGTATGGCGGAACTGAGGCAGATCAAAACACACGAGTTACTTGGAAGTACGCGTGCACTCGTACCGTTACCGGTACGCCACAATACAAATTGAACGGCGTTCCATTTGAAGATGCAGACTCGTCCTGGAAACTTGAGGACTGGCTCAAGGTCATCGATCCACTGGTGAAAGCTGACAAGCCGAAGTATGATCTGTAGAAAATAATGGTTGGCGCATTAATTTGCGATGAATTCAGTTCGTTTAAATAAAAATGGACTTGATGATCAGCAGTGTCCGGAATACTTACGACTGGATGATGGAAAGGAAGAAAGCTTAAGTCACCAATCCTGCATCCGTCGCATTGAAAGAGTGCCTAGGCATGAAATAAAATAGCGTAAGTAACTTAAAGGTCCATTCCACATGTAGTCGATTCCACCGAGGCTGAACAATAAAACGTACAAACGTGTACCAATGGTAATTGCATCAAAACAATTATCCACACGACTAATTGCCCTTACAGCTGTTCCATCTCAGTCTCTAGCACACTCGTCAATTGGTAAAGAAGCGAAAAGCCGAGTTTGCGCTTTACTAGCGCGTGAAGCCAACCTAGAAGCCAGCATTTCAGAAGCCGCGTTGGTAGCTATACTTGTTCGTAGTTGGTCGGTGGTAAGTGAGCGTAAATGCGTATAGTATTGTGCACTTGAGAGATAAAGAAGTATTTGCAGGTATACTGCATACTTACTTAATCCTCCAATTTGTAGCTCGGTAGGAAGGTCGAGACTTGTAGGCGCCAAAAGACGAAGAAAGCACTTAATTAGTCTTAGGCCCAGTCTTAACCGCGCGTTACGCGTGCCGTGCCTGCCAGAGGCTAGGTGAGCTGATGGTGCCACGCGATCTGGTTCAGACTGGTTCGTGCGGTGCCAGCTCGCGCCATCGCGTTATACTTCACCACGCACCGTAATTTTGCAGGAGCCGCGGCCGGCACTGTTGGCCAATGCAGCATGCACTCTCCTCCATTCGTCTTGATGCACCCCACGCGCTTTCGCTAAGCTCCGACATGCCCACTTACTTTGGGCGAGGTTGAAGCAATGCAAGGTGACAAGGATGTCGACGCAAGTGCAGCCGACGCGAACGCTTTGCGGGTTGTTGAGGGGGCGACGCAGACGGCAACTACCAATCCCAGTGAGTCCAACTCGCGTTCGGAGTCTGTTGTGTCAGCACTGTGGACTGTTGCAGACCCGGGGAAGACGACGCCACCAATCTCGGATGACTACAGCTTGTGGACAGTGGAGCAGCTTCAAAAGGAGTGCAAGAGCCGAAAGCTTCGCCTCGGCAGGAAAACCTCTGTGGCTGATCGCGTGAAGCACCTATGTGAGTTCGATGCTCTACATCGCTCCATGATTTCGGCAACCCTCGCGTCCGCTGACGGTGTTTCGGTGCCGTCGAATAACTGCACAATTCGGTTGTTACATGTGTTATTTTCGGACATCTTTGCTCCGCGCTTCGCACGTATTGGTGACAAGCCTTCTCGCCAGCAGCTGGACGCTGGGGAAACTCATGGCATCTCTTCATTTTGGCGTGATGTTGCGTCGGAGTTTAACCCGAACCGCACCGACTACAGCGATCTCTTCACCTCCGACGCGCGCTTTGAAGGAGTTGATGCGTCAGTTGTCGTTATTCACAGTGCTACCAAGGTCTATGACATGTGGAAGGACGTGAACAAGAGGTATCTGAAGGCGATGGCAAACTTCACCAAGTCCGGGGAGCATGAGGACGACTTCTTCACCTACTGCGAAGGAGCCCTTGACACCTTTTACCTTCGCGAGTGTTTGAAGCACAAACGCGATCTGGCGAGTTTTGTCGATGGTGGATTGTTCGCCAAGGACCAGTTCGACTCGCTGAAGCGTGGGCGTAGCGATTCAAGCGGCAAGAAGCCGCCACAGCAAGTGGGAACGAAAAAGCAGCGTAGTGAAGTAGCAGAGTCGGTCATTGCGCTAGCAGCTGCCATTGCTCCTGCGAGACCGAGTACAGCAGAACGCCTGATGAGCTTGCACAAGCTCATCCAGCAGGTAGAGGCTCGCATGGAAAAACTACAGCAGACCGGGGAAAGTGATGAATCCCTCCAACGCAGTTTGGATCTCTACCGCATGAAGCTGTCGAAGCTGGAAGAGGCCTTTTTTGACGAAGTGTAGTTCAATGAGAAGGTAGCGACTTATGAACTGTCCGAATGGACATTAATAAACTCAACTTACAACAACTCACTAGTTCGTTCTCTTTCAGCGCGGCGAATGTTGTACGCAGGTCGTAGCCGCTTCATTTGTCGCAGTTTGTCCACATAGGCGTTGCGGAGCAACTCCGACTCCGACGTCGGCTCCGGATAGACTTGTGTTGAGGCGTACATTGCCCGACATGCCGATGCATCGTTAGCTCCAACCGTCAAGTCGGTTATATCGGGGACGGGTTTAGATGCAAGAGTAGCAGCCATGTCCGCGTCATCGTCCACATCTTCGTTGTGGCTCTCACACAGGCGCTCAGTGATGCTAAAATTGTGCAACATACACGCTACATGCACCACCTACCTGATGCTTTTCACTCCGACCCGAAGCGGATCCTTGAAAACCCGCCACTTATTCACCAGCAGCCCGAATGCCATCTCCATTCTGATACGTAGTTGACTCAAGTGAAAGTTGAAGCTGTCTCGATACAATCTTGTTGCATTTGATTGACTTGCAGTTTGCGATCGCGTGAATGGCGTAAGCAGAGTGCTGATGTTCGAGTAGGCATTATCACCAACGAGGTGTAGACCAACCGGAAAAGACTCCCCGAGACTAGACAGCTCCCATCTCATAAACGCTAGAGCATCACCCATACCGCCCGGACTAGCACTCGTCACCGCAGTAAAGTGGCTACGGTGGTCTACACACGCTTGAACGTTGACACCATACCGTTGATAGTGTCCAGAAAAGAACGAAGAGACGCGGGTCACCTCGCGGCCATTGGGAACTTGAATGCAGCACAACCACCCGTCCACAGCACCGACGCAGCCGACTAAAACTGGGTTTTTGACCAGACTAGCAAACGCGCGTGCTGACTGTCGCTGATCGTACTCCGCCGCCGGAAACCTCAGTTGGAAATCATCATGAGCTTGGATAACATCCATCACCGGAAACCTCAGCTGTAACTCATCATGAGCTTGGATAACATCCATCACCTCCTGAATGGTGATGTAAAAACCCGGCTTGCTAGCACCAGCAAGCGCCCGTACCGGGTGGAAAGAGTACCCTGCCAGCCATGAGATAAAGCTTGTTAACGGGAGTAAGGGGCTCGTTCCCTTCGTTCTGTCGACGTGATTGAGCCTCATCAACGCGCAGGCTTGGAGCCAGCAGTCGCAACAACTTCTCAAATGACTGGATTGACATCCTGTAGTACTGGCGGAACTGGCCCTCGTTTAACAGCAACTGGGAGTGGTGACGCCAGTTTAAGCGCCGACGCGGTAGGCACGGCTGGCGCTCGCCCGCACCCGCCGCATTATCGCCAAGCAGCAAGACGCATGTCAACGCCACAACGATCTTGACGTCTCTGTTCCTCTGCATCGCACGGCGTCTGCCGGAATGAAATTGGCGCGAAAAGATATATTGAGTTGACCGTAATATTACGGCCTGGCACCTGGCACAGCCATTTGCCATGGCATTTCGTGGTGCCATGCATGGCACTTGAAAGGCACCGTAAGCTCTAAACCACAGGTGAGATTAGCCAATCAAAATGGAGATGGCACGAAATTCGTGCCATGGCGCGCGGTTAAGACTGGGCCTTAGGAAGCCACTAATAGATACACACCAGCCACTAGTATTAGTATGGTTTAAGCCAATCATAGCGGTTTAAACAGGACCTCCTAAACCTCATTATAATATCTTAAAGAGAATATTTCAAGGTAATCATACTGTTTATTTCAACAAAAATCTAACTTGTATATATACAGACCAGGAAAACTCTACACTTGGGTTTTGTAAACACGAAGTTTTTTTTGCGCCTGCCGGTGTAACACAGTTTACAAAGGTTAAGTCACTGACTTGTCCATTTTCTGTTCGCTTTGTGAAGAGAAGAGCGCTGATTTTTTTTAGTGGCCAGCAAGATTTTCTCATTTTAGAATTTGCGAAGTTTAGGAGGGGCTGAGTACTGCGCGCAAAAAACGCCGAGCCGAGCGCATCGTTGAAGGCGGGACGCCTCCCTGACGTCACGTCTGGAGCGAGCTGGAAGCGAGCGGATGGACGCACAGGGAGCCGCCAGCAAACTCGATCGGGACGCGGTGGAAGTTTATTCCGCCTGGCGGTAAAGCAAGCGGCATCGGAGGCACGGACTACTTTTTAAGAGAAGATCGAGTGTGCGCTCAGCATGCCTCCGTACGTACGCTTTGCTGTATTTCATTGTCTTGACGCTACGGACATACGACTTTCTACTGCTATTGTATTCAACGGCCTCCCTGC